TTACATGAAAGATGATAGAGTAAAAATTTCTGTAAATAAGTTGCAGTTTAATAGCCCATAGTCCCCAATTCTTTCTTACACACACTGCATGAGGTCTCTTGACATGGTCACTATGGGGTTCTCTTCAGCAACAAGATTAGGATAGTCTGGGGCAGAAGATGGTAAACTCAGTGTGTAGAGTAGAGTGAACAAGGCAAATCAGAAAGGTGTTGGGAAGACGGCTATGTATGCCTGAGGAGGAGACTCCATGGAGACCAGCTGAGATACAAATGTTAGGAGAGGGATACCAGTAGAAGCGAAGTAACAGAAAGCAATGTTGGGGAACACAGTTGTCTACAAGGGGCAAAAGACTGAACTCACGGTTTAACAGGAAAGTCACCAAGACTACGAGGCCTTGACACAGATGAAGGAGACTGCATTTGCATGGGCAGGGTAGCCTCATTTGTGCCTGTCAGACAACCACACTTGGGTTATTCCAAGTGTCCAGGGGCTAGATTTCCAATTCCAAATCCAAGACATCACAGAGGCCCTGTCTGCCTTCTTAAACATTCTGGCCTTCTGTTCACTCACACCTCTTCCACCTCCCTATGCCCAAATAAAATGATTCCCCAGCATTGACCTTACCTCTGACTCTACACCCAAGTATCACCTGTATTTCAAGTCCTTACCCTCACAGGTCACACGGACCTTGTGGAAGTGCATGTGGTCTTCCCATCTTTCCCTCTTGGGTAAAGTGTGGCTCTGTGTCACTAAAAATGCAGTGCATTCACTCAGCCAACCAAAAGCTGACACTGAGTTTTAGGAACTATCTTAGACTCTGCAGGAGACACAACACTCTTGAGTTCCTAAAAAGCTTTGGGGCATTGTGTTAGCAGAGAGGAAAAAGAAAAACAGAGGGACAAGCAGGAGACTTTTCTGGCCCCAAAATGCTTTGGTCATTTTTAAATAAAATGCTAAACTATCACTAGACAGCTATTAAATTTTATAAACCAAAAATTCAATTCCAGTTATCATGAATATTCTTCATGTCATATTCAAGGGAAAGGAAAGGAAGGTAATAGAATTAATAATATTCATATCTAGAGGTGGATATCTTACCACGTGGTTACGATACCCATGTCCCATATCAGTGCCTGGGTTCAATTACTAAGTCTAACTCCTGATTCCAGCTTCCTGCTATCGCACTCCCAGAAAGGCAGCAGTGAAGGCTCAAGCAATTGGACTCCTGCCACTTACATGGGAGCCTTGGATTGAATTTTCAGCTCCTGGCTTGGATCTCAGCCCAGCCCAGGCCACTAAGGGCATCTGGGGAGTGAACCAGCAGATTGGAGTGCTCTGCCTCTGTTTGTGTGTGTGTGTGTGTGTGTGTGTCTTTCTCACCACTCTCAAACAAATATATACATTTTTAAAAATTCACCTTGAAAAAAATATCATTCACATGCAAATCTCAGGTAAGAAAGGCCAACTTCTGTCTCTTACAAAGAGCTGTGACAGGGAAAGGGAAAGTAGTCTTTAACAATGCACACACATATGTGTATTTATAAGTAAGCAGGGGGCCGGCCCCGTGGCGCAGGTTAATCATCTTCCTGCGGCACTGGCATCCCATATGGGCTCCGGTTCAATTCCCAGCTGCTCTTCTTCCAATCCTGCTCTCTGCTATGGGCTGGGAAAGTAGTAAAAGATGGCCCAAGTCCTTGGGCCCCTGCACCCACATGGGAGACCGGAAAGAAGCTCCTAGCTCCTGGCTTCAGATCAGCGCATTTCCAGCCCTTGCGGCCAGTTGGGGAGTGAACCAGTGGATGGAAGACCTCTCTCTCTCTCTGCCTCTCCTTCTCTCTGTGTGTAACTCTGACTTTCAAATAAACTAAATAAATCTTTTTTAAAAAACATAAGTCGGCTGAATGACCTGGGATAGCAGCAGAAGATGGCCCAAGTGCTTGGGCCCCTGCACCTATGTGGGAGACCCGGAAGAAGCTCCTGGCTCCTAGCTTCAGATTGGCACAGCTCCAGCCTTTGTGGCCAATTGAGGAGTAAACCAGCAGATGGAAGACCTCTCTCTGTAACTCTTTCAAATAAAATAAATCTTTAAAAAAAAAAAAAGAGCTCATATATATATATATATATGCAGAAGTTCACGAATGCAAATGCTTGGGAAGAGCTAACTGGAGCAATGTACTGCTATGTAGCTGAAAATTACCTGACTCTTCAACACCATGTCAGGGAACAACAAAGCAATTTCAAAAACAAGGTGATTTTAAAAAGCTTCGGGGAAAAATAAAATTTAAAGTGCAATTTTGGTGCCAAAAAAACTTTCCATTATATGTGGGAAATGTACATTATAAAAAAGAATACATTGATTTCAAAAATATTTGGCTTCAAAATAAACTCAGAGCTTTAATTCCATTTTTCTAAGAATCTTGTGAAGTGACCTCATAAATCTCCAATCTGACCTCAGTGGAAGTCTTCACTTTAAATTTTAATTTGGAACCAAGAAAAGGCATTTAGTAGTTAACACATCTACTGAAACATATAGAAGCTACTACTTGTTTTTCCTTCTGCTGTTTTCCTCAGTCTGGCTCAGTGCCTAGACAATAAGCATTCCCAGGGCACGGGGCCCAAAATCTCTAGACCAGACTTTGCAGGTGTTACCCTTGGGTCAAACAGCACCCTGGGGACAAGCAAGAGAGGATAGCTCTTCCCTTCTCCATTAACTCTCACACATCTATACCCTTTCAGTGTTTCTGGGAAAATTTCAGAAAAATGTAACAGTCCCATTGCCACTGCCTAGCAATCTCTCTGCAAAGCTACTCCTGTGTTTGTGTTTAGCTGCTGGATTGAAACTGTGTGGTTTAGGAGTAGATGGCCTCTCCTAATCTCAATTCTAGAATGCAATTAGTCCAATTTGCTTCTTCAGCTTTATGCAAAGTGTGCAGATGTTTCAAAAAAAAAAAAAAAAAGGAATTCCATAATTGCAGCTTCTCTCTAGACAACATGCCCCAAAACTCTTTGATGACAATTGTCAGATCCCTTTTGACAAGTATTTTGGGAAAGTCTGGGAGAAGAAAGGTGTTGAAATAAGGAAGGGAAAGAAGAATGAGTAAGAGCTTTCACTTTCAGTGCAGTCATTAAATAAGATTTTCACTGAAAATGCATTAGATTACATACACAGGTAATCTAATGCCTTACCTGAAATGCTTGGGACCAGAACTCTTTCAGAATTTTGGAATCTTGGTATAGACTTTATCAGTTGTGTGGCCCTAATCCAAAGTCATAAATACCCCAAAACATTTTGAATTCTGGAGTATTCTGGATTTCAGATTAAGGATACTCAACCTGTAGATTAATGTCCTACAGTATCCCATCAAAAGATAAACAGAATTCTTTTCAATTCAATGTGTGTTCAAGACCTCACCCATAAAATAGACTAAAAAATATCCATGAAAGGCATACAGATGGAAGAGGTCCTAAGATATCTGCATGTCAAATGCCCAGATTTGAATCATCAGGGCCTGATGGAATGCTGCTTGACTAGCTGGTTGCAAAGACAGGAAGGCTTAATCCAAAGGTTAAGGATCTTTGTTGATACTTCTTATGCATCTCAGTGCATGAGCAGGAAAGGTTTAAAAACTGAATACAGCAGTTGGAAAACTTTTCAAGACTTACAAACATGTAAAAAGGGTTTTACACTGTAATCTCACACAGACTCAGTGAACAACTTTTGAATACCACACAGTGTGCTAACCATGTGAAAGCATTGGTACTAAATGGCTATGTGGCAAATTCTAAGCTTCCATTAGGAAACACACAACACTGTGACTCAACAGACTAAAACAAGTTCTCATCAGTGTTGTGTATTAAAGAGTCTAACTAACTAGGAAGCAAAAATATATCTACATATATGTATATATCATGTGGTTGGGACACTTACTCTTTGCACCTTAGGCTTATTTTTAGGTACTAAGTGTATGACATCATCTCTTAAGTCTAGGAATGTTGGATCCTCAAAGGATTATAACGCTTCCATGATATCTAAAATACACTGAAAAAAGCAATGCTTACAAAAAAAGGAGACTTCAAAAATCAGAAAGGATGTATCTTAACAAAGTATCTTCCCGGGTGAACTATGCAGGGAAATCTGTGAAAATGATTGTCTACTTTTGGTTTTTCAATTTCCTCCCCCTCCATACACACACTGTTCCGTTTGATACTCACCCTTATCACAGGCAATGTGCAAGGCAGTTGAGCTTGGAAAGTTACGCAAGCCCTGAGCAACTAAGGGCTAAGAAACAAGAACCCAGGCCTCCGACTCTCCCTCAGTTCTGCCACCAGCGATTCAGAATATAAAAACAACCCCCACATCGCGTAAAGTTGGCTGCGGATCCCTCAACTAATGAGAGGTAGTTTTGTGAGCGATGCAAACCGTACAGCCAGCCTATGGTTAAAAGAATGGGCAAGAAACACAAACTTCTCCAGAGTGACACAGTGTGAATATTGATGGAATTCCTGAGCAGCTGTAAGGAAATTCCAAAACAGAGCCAAAAGACAGAGTGTTTTCCAAGGTCCTGATAAAATTTAAATCTTCTCAACTGGAAGCAGTTAACGCAAGTTCTAAATAGTGCACCAGGAGAGCCCCCCCACCCCGGCGCGCCCCAAGAGGTGAGGCATTGCACCTCCTTCAGACCAACAGCTCTTGGGCAGGTCGCTTTCCCTCTCAAACCCCAGTGCTCTCCGAGGTTGCGCGGGGGACTGGTATTTCTAATGGCAGACATTTCACAGCTTGCTTGCAAGAACAGGTCCCTAGAAGCCCGAGAGACACGCTCCGCGGGAACCAGGCAAAGGCGAGCGCTGCGCGCGCTCCTGCGAGGCTGCAGGGTCGAGCGCGCAGGTGAGGGGCGCCCCTGGCCGCTGCCTCTCTCCGGGCCCCGGTGCTGACCGCGCGCAGGGCTCGGCGCCGCCCTCCGTCCCCGCCCTCCCTGGCGCAGCACCGGCCGCGGACCTACCAGCGAGAGCACTTTATAGGTGTTGGGGTCTTTGGCAGGGCGGGCGCCCGCCGCCTTCTCCAGCGGCTCCTCCCCCAGGTCCATGGGCGCCAGCAAGGACGCGGCTGCCTGCGGGTCCCCGGGCGCCTCGGAGGCTTGGCCGTGGCTCGGGTCGCGGCCGTTCCCCGCCAGGCCCTCCCGGGGGCCGCGCCCGCCCTTGCCGCCGCCTTGGCTCCCGCCCCCAGCGCAGCCGTCCCGCTCCATGGTGGCCCCGGGCGCTCCGGCCCCGCCGCCCCACAGCGCCTTTAATAGGCCCTGCGCCGGCCCCGCCCCGGCTGGCCGCGCCGCCCCTCGCGGTCAGACCCTGGGCTCCTGTCCCTCCGCCCAGCGCGCCCGGTGAGGGGAGAGCCGCTCAACGCCCCGGATTATTTGGCTTCCTGTCTGATTTGGGGCCCTCCGCGCGCCGGTTATTTTGGGTGCTTGGCGTGGGCGCGCCTTGAACTCGCCTCAGCCTTCTTCCCTCCCGCGCCCCGGGCGGCCGGCCGGACCCTCGCCGGGATCGCCCTGAGCGGCCTGGCGGCGCTGGCTGCGCCCGGCCGGCTGGCCGGCCAAGGGCAGGATGAGATCACGGGGCTCCAAAATAGAGCGGGGAGGAGCAGGAGAAGGATGCGGCTGCCCAGGCGGTGCCCGCGGCGCAAAGGCGGGAGAAGGGGCACGGCGAGGGCGGCGCGTTTGCGCGCGGGGATGCCGGCGGCCGCGGTGGAGCAGCTCCTACGAGCAATCGCAGTTACGCGCCCTCCTTCCACTCGTGAAGCCACAGAGAGTCCTAAAAGATGCGGGCTTACACACACGATTTCGTTCTGCACGGTTTTGGGTGGGTTTCTGGGATTTTGCCGCTGCCGCTGTTCGCATAGACCTAGTCGCCTTTTAGACTTTCCATATGGACAGTCCCAGCCGCCCCTGAGGTTACCTCTGGCACCTGGTTTGAACGTGGAATTTTAACGCCATCTGAAACACGTCGATAAGCCTTGTTTTGGGAACCTTGATCTGGACAGTAGGTGGCCACTCTTGGTGGGGTTTGTTCCAGTTTTGATTTTGACCGCGTGTACATTTCCTTGCTCATCAGTTAGCAAGACCGCAAATGTGCATGAGGCGCCTCTTGCCTGTCAACAGCAAACCAGTGCCAATGCTTCCAGGTAAGTGGGCTCACTTCAGGGACCAAGTCAAACAGTCCACAGACAATTCACTTTTAGTTCATTTAGGTTACACAAATATATGCAGAGACACAAATATATTCCAATTTTCAAATATGAGAATGTGTGTTTAGCCAATATCAAGTGACTGTTGTCCCCTGGAAAATAGTGAACTTGGGATGCTTCCCATCTATCCTGATTCATTCATTCATAAGCCTGTAGTTCAGTCTCTTGATCTCCAGCTTTGCAAACTGGATCAAAAGTGAGGGACGGGAGTTGTGGTACAGTGGTTAGGAGTGCCTGCGTTCAACTCCTGAATCCACGTTCGATCCAGCTTCCTGTTACTGCACATACTGGGCGGGGGCAGGTGATGGCTCAAGTGCTTGAGTCCCTGCCATCCACATGGAAGACCCTGATTGAGTTCCTGGCTGCTGACTTTGACCTCCCAAGTTGTTGCAGACATTTGGGGAGTGAGAAGCAGAGGAAAGATCTCTCTGTCTCACTCACTCTGGGTGTGGGGTGTAGTTTTTGGTGTGTGTGTGTGTGTGTGTCGTCACTCTGCCTTTCAAATAAATAAAATTTAAAAGACCTTAAACCCATCTGGCCTTGCCTTTAAAAAAAATAATGTCCATGTCTTGGTTTTAAAGTGAATCTAAATAGATCTTTCCCTCAAGTGGTTCTGACTCTGGGAGCAGGGAGAAGAACCAACAGATAAAAAAAAGTAAAGTCTTAAACATATAACAATGCCATGCATCCAATATTCTGAGAGCTTTGGAGAAAGGATTCTTGCACTGGAAAAAGCTGAGTCCATCCCTCAAAGTATTATTAAACCTCTTCAAGTTTCCTTTGGGTCAGCTAACAAATGATCCAACAGAAACAGGTTTTCATTATTTCGAAGTCACACATTTTTTTACCCCAAAATTGGCTCCAAATTTGCTTTTAACTATTTCCAGAAATCAGATTCAAGGACAAAGACTTATTCCACTGAGACTTGTCAAAAACAGTGTCAAAACTTCTAAAACAACTCGGAAGAGCCTTTCCAAAGTGGCTTTGAACCTGACAAAACAAATGGACTTTCATGTACTCTCCTCATCCCAAGGCAACGTGTGACCTTAAATGTCAGCCTTTGGAAATGGCAGGGCAGTCTGCAGGGTCATAAACATCCCAACATCTGTGGAGCAGCGGGAACCCTAAATGAGTGAGGCAGCCCCTGTGCACATGGCTAGAAGTGGACTCTGTCTGTCCTTGTTAAGGAAGGGTGCCAGATTCACTTAGCAGGATTGTGGGGCTCAGAGTGGCAGACTTTTTAAGAGAAGCAGGGAATTTGAACGTTTGTGTAAATTCTCCAGGTTACAAAACGCTGTCTATAAAATTCAGAAAAACAATTTTTTCAACAATTCAAAGGCCAAACAAAATGGAACACATCTACAGGGTGGATCTGGCACACAGGCCACCAGGATGTGGCCTCTTCACGATGTTCATAACTCGGCCACACCAGTTGCCATTTTTATGCCTACTTATAAAAACCGAATTACAATTCTAAAATCAGAGAAATCAAAACAGGTCAAGTATGTCCCTTCTATTGTTTATGTAAAGACATTACAACGCCTCTAATGAAGTCTTGCCTCAGTCTTATGTAATTTTTTTAAAGATTGATTTTATTTATTTGAAAGTTACGGAGAGAGAGAAAAAGAGAGAGAGGTCTTCCATCTGCTGGTTCCCTCCCCAAATGGCCGCAACAGCTGAGCTGAGCTAATCCGAAGCCAGGAGACAAGAGCTTCTTCTGGGCCTGTTAGGCAGGAAGTTAGAAATCGGTCTATGTGTGTGTGAGAAGGGCCTAAAGCCCAGCACCTGCTGTGGAAGCTCTAGTATTTTCACTTCAAAGTCCTGCTCAGACCCTGATAACCTTCCAGATGGTCCCAGGCCTTCCCCCAAGGAAAGCGCCCAGGAGAATTTTCTCTCAGGAGCATATGGGTTACCTGACCTGATAACATGGCACAACAACACCTACACAGATGCCTTAAGGGAAACACCTGTGCTCTGCCCAGCACTAGCAAATCTGAGGAGGAATTTGCTCATTTTCACCAGACGCTTCTGCCAGGACTCCCCATCCTTTGTCCTGGAGGAGAGGGGGAGGCGGGTAAAGAGACGCCCCTTAAAAACCGGGAGTCCAAGCAAAGGCTGCACTCGGCTCTCTGCTGTCTGCTGAGCTGCCTGCCAGGCCTGCCCAGGAGTATTCTCTCCATTCAACCACGTATCTCGCTCTCCCCCAGTCCCAGTGACTGGGCACTATAGCTGTCCCTTCATTCTGACGGATGCCCTATCCCCCATAAAACCTTATTACTTCACTCTCTGTCTCAGGCCTGAATTCTTTCTTGTGTCAAGAAAAGAACCCCACAGCTTCCGGTGACAGGTCTCCCGTGAGCGTGAAGGGGCCAAGCGCTTGGGCCCTCCTTGGGCCATCCTCCACTGCTTTCCCAGGGCATTAGCAGGGCAGGGAACTGGACTGCAAGTGGAGCAGCTGGGGCTCCAGCAGGCACCCATATGGGATACTAGTGCTGCAGGCCAGGGCTGTAAGCCACTTGGTCACAGTGCCAGCCCCAGCCTTATGTATTCTAAAAGGTCAGAGGGACAGCTTCTTCCTCCAAAGTACAATGAGGTCGTGAGACAAGAAACCACCACTCAGCTTCTCCCAGTGGTGAAGTAGGCAGGCATACAGGTTCAAATCGCTTAGGTTTGTGAGCTGGAAGACCACGCCTTCGCCACGCCCCTGTGTGACCTCACGCCCTACCTAATACCTTTACCACGCTCCTGTGTGGCCTCATCCCTCTACCTGGCCACACCTGGGTCCCCACCAGCCAATCAGGTTCATTAACCACTCTCTTTTGGAAGTGGGTTAAAAACCTGGAACATGGTGTGTCCTGGGCCCTTCTCTTTCCCCTGGCCTCTTGCCAGGAGGGGGCTTGCTGTAGCCTTGCGCCTCCAAGGCACATGGCCTTCAGGCCACCTGCCCTAGGCTTCCTGGCCTAGATGCTCCTCCACGTGGCTGGTTCCTGGTGCTCGGTATAAACCCAGATTTACCTCTCTCTCTTAATAAAGCCCTCACTCTCCTATGCATCTTTCGCACTAAATAAAAGCTTAAAATGTACCATGCTGCCTCGTTTATCTGTGCCAGTATTTAGAATTCTCTAAATATTAGGCAAGAACCCTCTGGGGCTTATTAATATTGGGAATTTATTAGTAAGCATATGGTGAAATCGTATGGCACCCCAAATTCCGGTAGCATATGTGGCACCCCAGATAGCACTTCTGGGGAACTTTAAGGACCCACATTTTGGTGTAAATTTTAGGGGGTCATCTCCGATTTCAGTGGTACTAAGGAGAATGATGAATGCGACAGCTCTAATCTGTCTACTTGACTGATTGAGGATGCTAACCTAGTGCAGCAGTAAAGATGACAGTTTACCATTTTATAAATTCCCTGACTTTTATCTTAACAATAAATATTTAAGCACTTCTCACTTAGTACCAGAAACAAATGGTAATAATGCCAAAACACCAAGCAAAACCTATTTGTCTATGTTGGAAGTACAACTTCTCAAAGTTGAGAAATGACTCTTCTCAACTCTTCAAAAATGAAATGTGCTGGAGAGTCATTATTTGAGTGGCTGCTACAGAGCGTTCCAGCTTTCTCTAATTCACCGGTAAAACTCCAAAGACATGCAGCCGCAACTGAGAAGGGAAAAGGCACACAGCCCTTTCAGCTTGATGAGGCCTAGAAAAAGAACAATTTCCCCATGGCATTAATCAATTTTAAGATTTAATGACTGGGGCCCACTCCGTGGCGTAGCAGGTAAAGCCTCCATCTGCAGTTCTGGCATCCCATATGGGCGCCAGTTCAAGTCCCAGCTGCTCCACTTCCAATCCAGATCTCTGCTATGGCCTGGGAAAGCAGAAGATGACCCAAGTCCTTGGGCCCCTGCACCCATGTGGGAGACCCAGCAGAAGCTCCTGGCTCCTGGCTCCTGGCTTCAGATCAGCTGAGCTCTGGCCATTGTAGTCACTTGGGGA